CACCAATGATGGAGCACTATTCCTCCCACTGACACCAATGATGGGGCACTATTCCTCCCACTGATACCAATGATGGGGCACTATTCCTCCCACTGATACCAATGATGGGGCACTATTCCTCCCCATGACGCCAATGATGGGGCACTATTCCTCCCACTGACACCAATGATAGGACACTATTTGTCCCACCGACACCAATGATGGGGCGCCCACTAACTCCAGTAATGGGCCATTATTCCTCCCACTGATACCAACAATGGAAAATTATTCCTCCTTCCCCTTACCACAGGTTCTAGGTCATGACACCAATGATGGGGCACTATTCCCCCCCACTGACACCAATAATAAGGCACTATTTCTCCCCCTGACACCAATGATGGGGCACTATTCCTCTCACTGATACCAATGATGGGGCACTATTCCCCCCACTGATACCAATGATGGGGCACTATTCCTCCCACTGACACCAATGATGGGGCACTATTCCTCCCACTGATACCAATGATGGGGCACTATTCCTCCCACTGACACCAATGATGGGGCACTATTCCTCCCACTGATACCAATGATGGGGCACTATTCCCCCCACTGACACCAATAATAAGGCACTATTCCTCCCACTGACACCAATAATAAGGCACTATTCCCCACTGACACCAATGATGGGGCACTATTCCTCCCACTGACACCAATGATGGGGCACTATTCCTCCCACTGACACCAATGATGGGGCACTATTCCTCCCACTGACACCAATGATGGGGCACTATTCCTCCCACTGACACCAATAATAAGGCACTATTCCCCCCACTGACACTAATGATGGGACACTATTCCTCCCACTGACACCAATGATGGGGCACTATTCCTCCCACTGACACCAATGATGGGGCACTATTCCTCCCACTGATACCAATGATGGGGCACTATTCCTCCCACTGACACCAATAATAAGGCACTATTCCCCCCACTGACACTAATGATGGGACACTATTCCTCCCACTGACACCAATGATGGGGCACTATTCCTCCCACTGACACCAATGATGGGGCACTATTCCTCCCACTGATACCAATGATGGGGCACTATTTCTCCCCCTGACACCAATGATGGGGCCCTATTCCTCCCACTGACTTAAGTGATGGGACACTATTCCTCCCACTGACACCAATGATGGGGCACTATTCCTCCCCATGACACCATAATGGGGCACTATTCCTCCCACTGACACCAATGATGGGGCACTATTCCTCCCACTGACACCAATGATGGGGCACTATTCCTCCCACTGACACCAATGATGGGGCACTATTCCTCCCACTGACACCAATGATGGGGCACTATTCCTCCCACTGACACCAATGATGGGGCACTATTCCTCCCACTGACACCAATGATGGGGCACTATTCCTCCCACTGATACCAATGATGGGGCACTATTCCTCCCACTGATACCAATGATGGGGCACTATTCCTCCCACTGACACCAATGATGTGGCACTATTCCTCCCACTGACACCAATGATAGGACACTATTTGTCCCACCGACACCAATGATGGGGCGCCCACTAACTCCAGTAATGGGCCATTATTCCTCCCACTGACACCAACAATGGAAAATTATTCCTCCTTCCCCTTACCACAGGTTCTAGGTCATGACACCAATAATAAGGCACTATTTCTCCCCCTGACACCAATGATGGGGCACTATTCCTCTCACTGATACCAATGATGGGGCACTATTCCCCCCACTGATACCAATGGTGGGGCACTATTCCTCCCACTGACACCAATGATGGGGCACTATTCCTCCCACTGATACCAATGATGGGGCACTATTCCTCCCACTGACACCAATGATGTGGCACTATTTCTCCCACTGATACCAATGATGGGGCACTATTCCTCCCACTGACACCAATAATAAGGCACTATTTCTCCCCCTAACACCAATGATGTGGCCCTATTCCTCCCACTGACACCAATGATGGGATACTATTCCTTCCACTGACACCAATGATGGGGCACTATTCCTCCCCATGACACCATAATGGGGCACTATTCCTCCCACTGACACTAATGGGGCACTATTCCTCCCACTGACACCAATGATGGGACACTATTCCTCCCACTGACACCAATGATGGGACACTATTCCTCCCCATGACACCAGAAAAAATGAGGAAGGGTTGTAACAGCGCAAACACTGCAAAGTCCTGGGAAATGGTAGTATGGGTGATGGTGGTATTAGTGGCTACTGTATGAAGAGCGTAGGATTCCGTGTGGCACTGAGGGCAAGGCTTCCAAATAAGCTGTAGCAACTTCTGTAGATGAGAAAAAGGAGAGAAGCGCCTCTAAGTGCAATAAGTCTTTTAATTCAAGTCTAAATGTAGAAACACTCACATGTGTGAAGTAATCATAAGCATAAAAACCGTGGTTAACAATAGTTAACGGTGGGGTGGTAACCCGGGTGAAGAGCCGTCATCTCTCTGCGATGTGGGGAGGTCAGCTCTCGGCTGGAACAGCGTGGTGGCTGGAGGGGGAACAGTGGTGAGGCCAGCCTTCATGCACGTCCTCCCTCAAAGCCGGATGGAACGCACGCTGGAACGTAGCGGCGGCGTGGCCGTGATGACGTCAGATCCCAGGGTGCACTGCGACGCGTTTCGGAGCATGCACTGGCCGTGGAAGGCGGAAGTGCACTCCTTTTTCAAGCAGCTGCTTGAAAAAGGAGTGCACTTCCGCCTTCCACGGCCAGTGCATGCTCCGAAACGCGTCGCAGTGCACCCTGGGATCTGACGTCATCACGGCCACGCCGCCGCTACGTTCCAGCGTGCGTTCCATCCGGCTTTGAGGGAGGACGTGCATGAAGGCTGGCCTCACCACTGTTCCCCCTCCAGCCACCACGCTGTTCCAGCCGAGAGCTGACCTCCCCACATCGCAGAGAGATGACGGCTCTTCACCCGGGTTACCACCCCACCGTTAACTATTGTTAACCACGGTTTTTATGCTTATGATTACTTCACACATGTGAGTGTTTCTACATTTAGACTTGAATTAAAAGACTTATTGCACTTAGAGGCGCTTCTCTCCTTTTTCTCCCCATGACACCATAATGGGGCACTATTCCTCCCACTGACACCAATGATGGGGCACTATTCCTCCCACTGACACCAATGATGGGGCACTATTCCTCCCACTGATACCAATGATGGGGCACTATTCCTCCCACTGACACCAATGATGGGGCACTATTCCTCCCACTGACACCAATGATGGGGCACTATTCCTCCCACTGACACCAATGATAGGACACTATTTGTCCCACCGACACCAATGATGGGGCGCCCACTAACTCCAGTAATGGGCCATTATTCTTCCCACTGATACCAACAATGGAAAATGATTCCTCCTTCCCCTTACCACAGGTTCTAGGTCATGAGTTTTACTCCAACAGAACCCTGATCCTGGAGCATCGCTTGCTCCCACTGACAACTGACGCTGGCGTACTCTCTACTTCCATCAGCCACAGTCCAGGCACACTATGGTTTGGAGGATAGTCAGCTGGCCTCTTGTTTAAAAAGTTTAGGCACCCCTGACCTAGTAACTTACACTTTATATTTGGGCAGTACTGAGATCACTTTTATGAAATTGTAATCCATTTGAAGATCTCAAGCCATTAAAATATCCTATAATAGTGTCCTTCTGTAAAAGGTTTATTTTATAGACGTGATGTCACCAGTGTTGCAGGGCAGTGATGCCCCCCCCCCCCCCCCTTGTATCTGATGTCCTATGTATGTACAGGAGGTCGACCATCTCCCCTCTGTAATGTTTGTTATATTTACAGTATTGGATACCTTGTGCCCAAGGCTGGTGCTTCCACTAGGCAAACTAGGGCGCACTGCCACCTAGGGGCGCCTAGGTGCAGCTCAGGCCAGCACTCTGTGTGGTACACGGTCATGTCATGAATAATCATCCAGCTGAGGAGAGGGGTGGCAGAGAGGAGGAACAAAGGACAGAGGAAGATGCCGGATGTCTGGGGCCCGTGTAGCAGCTCAGCTGCTGCTCCTTCCAGTGTTCCTCTCAGACTCAGTCTCTTACTGCAAGGCTGCTGATCACTGTGGAGTTCCAGCCCTTCTCTTCCCATTCATCAGAGGAGGCAGAGCTGCACCTGTGGAGGAAGGTAATGTCTGACTCTGATATCTCTGGTGTCTGTGTGAGTGTGACCCAGCCGGCCATCCATCACATGTGCAATATGTCAGTGACTGATGATGTCATCACAATCCCGCAGACTGCTGTTTTAGTGCCTGCTGATCTGTGCCAGTGTTGGTGGTGGTGTGTTGTATGAGATCTGTCACTGTGTGGGATCGCTCAGCTCAGGTGCTCTCTGTATGTGTGGGGTATGATTAAGCACGAGATCATGTGAAACGCGTTAACAGGTCCTGTATTCATGTCCTGGTGTTTTGTGTGTCCTATGGATCAATAAATACACACTGTATTCATCTATTCTCCGGTGTGCGACTGACCCTTCTTCCTATTGCATTGTGTGTGTGTGTGTGGGGGGGGGGCTGGGCTGCCTACTGCCACAGCATTTTACCTCCCCCCATTGTCTGGGGAATTCCAGCCTGGGATCTGTCAAAGTGTGGATCCATCATCCTCCACTCACTGCAACTGTCACCCTGCCACTGCCAGCCACAGATACAGTCTGTCCGTGACACAGATTTTGTCTTTAACCCCTTGGCGCAGGCGCCTCCCGGCCCTCTAAGGGTTTCAGAAGCCGGGAGGCGGGGTGGGGTTTAGGGTCATGTGACCGCCGTGACACGCCGTCATGTCGGTCACATGATCGGGAAAGGTCCCGATCGAAAGAGGAGATCGGGACCTTTCTGTGAGTACCGGACATGTGTGCTGGGAATGCACGGGGCGCGCGCTCTCAGCACATATGTTCTTTTGTAATAGAACGCAAACGTGCGGCTGCTCGGCGTCTAGGCCCAGACGCTGGGAGGCTGCACATTTGTGTTCGGCCGGCGTGAAGAGGTTAATATTGGTGCTGGTGGCCAGGGGCGGACTCACAACTCATGGGTGTTCCATGCATTCCTGTGCAGGCAATCCCATTGGTATCTATTGGGATGCAGCAGCTGCATGCACACATAAGGATCCTTCAGGGTGGAGAGTGGGGGAAGGGGGGAAGGGTCCAGTAAGTAGGTCCTATTTACCAGCCCCTTCCTTTTCTAAATGAACACAATGAGTAATCAGTACTGTTCATTCATAACCAGGGGCGGACTGACAACTCATAGGGCCCCTGGGCAATAGGAGATCATGGGGCCCCTGTGTCCTTGCCCAAACTCAAAAACGCCTATGAAAAAGGTACCAGGGGCATCTCATGGGGCCCCCTACTGACCCCGGGCCCTCGGGCAGTGCCCGAGTTTCCAAATGGTCAGTCCGCCCCTGCTGGTGGCATCTTATGGCACTTATTTTTGCAAATTAAAACAATTTTAGCAGTTTCATGTTTTGTTAATTAAATATTTTCTATTCTTTTTTTTTTTTGGGGGGGGGGGCACGCAAGTAGCTGCTCTTGCCTAGGGCACAAAGTAGTCTAGCACCGGCCCTGCCTGTGCCTGGAGAAGAGTCTACATCCCTCATATTTATTGGTATTGCTGTGTCGCGGGACTTAGGTTTTGTTGCCAAGACTCCAATTAAAAGCCTTTTCATCTAGTCTAATTATTGGTTACTTTGATAAAAGCAAAATAAAATAGACGGCAAATAAGGTAACCGGGCAGTTCAAATATCTCCCCGCAAATAAAACAGATGTTTAAAATAGCAGAAGGTTTTGTAGGAGTAACAACATCCTGCAGAAGCGTGTTGTGGAAACAAACCTGAAAGAACGCCGCTAAGCACTATTTACATCTAAACTTGCCGTGTAACATGACCGACTACTATTCCACACGCATGACCCCTCCTCTATGGTGCCTCTGTGCTCGAAGTCATACAGACAGGGAAGGATCTCCATATAAACAGCGGGGCGTGCGCAGCATGCCTTCCAATGACTCCCAAAAGCAGGGCGGGCACAGACAACAAATTATTCTGGGTGTCCGGTTCAGTAGATCCGGTGTCAGGCACAGACAACGAATTATTCTGGGTGTCCGGTTCAGTAGATCCGGTGTCAGGCACAGACAACGAATTATTCTGGATGTCCGGTTCAGTAGATCCGGTGTCAGGCACAGACAACGAATTATTCTGGATGTCCGGTTCAGTAGATCCGGTGTCAGGCACAGACAACGAATTATTCTGGGTGTCCGGTTCAGTAGATCCGGTGTCAGGCACAGACAACGAATTATTCTGGATGTCCGGTTCAGTAGATCCGGTGTCAGGCACAGACAACGAATTATTCTGTGTGTCCGGTTCAGTAGATCCGGTGTCAGGCACAGACAACGAATTATTCTGGGTGTCCGGTTCAGTAGATCCGGTGTCAGGCACAGACAACAAATTATTCTGGATGTCCGGTTCAGTAGATCCGGTGTCAGGCACAGACAACGAATTATTCTGGGTGTCCGGTTCAGTAGATCCGGTGTCAGGCACAGACAACGAATTATTCTGGGTGTCCGGTTCAGTAGATCCGGTGTCAGGCACAGACAACGAATTATTCTGGGTGTCCGGTTCAGTAGATCCGGTGTCAGGCACAGACAACGAATTATTCTGGGTGTCCGGTTCAGTAGATCCGGTGTCAGGCACAGACAACAAATTATTCTGGGTGTCCGGTTCAGTAGATCCGGTGTCAGGCACAGACAACGAATTATTCTGGGTGTCCGGTTCAGTAGATCCGGTGTCAGGCACAGACAACGAATTATTCTGGGTGTCCGGTTCAGTAGATCCGGTGTCAGGCACAGACAACGAATTATTCTGGGTGTCCGGTTCAGCTTCAGAAACTTACATAAGAAGAGTGATTCTTTTTAGAGAGCTAAAGCCTGACTTATGCAGGCCATAGACGGGTCAAAAACCGGCCATTTAAAAAAAAAAAGAAAAGAAAAATCGGTCGTTCAATAGGCCGACATTACCACCAACGGTAAAAAAAAAAATCGGCCAGTTTTCTTCCCGTCTACGGCCGGCATTTAGTTACTTCTGTCCCTGCAGAGAGCTCCGCTATTATATTTGACATGAAAAAGTATTGCGGTTGCAACAATGTATTAATTTGTATCCATTTCGGATACAGATGTTTTTTCGGATACAAATAGATACATCGTTGCAACACTTTTTCATATCAAATATAATAGCGGACTGGAATTCTTCTTTTTCTTCTTCTTTTTCTGCTTCTTGCAGGTCACGGCTCATGCGCAGATTTTTTATCGGTAAAACGATCGGCCGATTTGCCCATCATTGCCGGGAAAATCGGTCGATTTTTTTTCCAACTTTACTGATAAAAAAAAATGTGCCAAAACCCTAAAAAAAACGGCCGACCAATTAACCCACTAACGGTGCGAAAATCAGCCGATTTTCGACCCGTTTATGGCCTGCATTACACTAGAAGAATTTAATACAAAATTTTTTCGTATTAAGAACATTAGTTTGATTCTCCAATCCTTCATGGGTCATTTTTGATCGCAGCGATATAGAGAATTAGAAGGAGCGAGATGGAAAATATTTCTTGAAATAATAAATTTCTAAGCATTTATATGGGTTTTGTTTGGGGAAAAGCTATTTGTTCCAAAAACCAAATGTTAAAGTGATTGTAAATGAACAAACATTCTCTTTATGTCTGGAGGAAAAGAGATTTAATCTCCAAACACGGAAAGGTTTCTTCACAGTAAGAGCTGTGAGAATGTGGAATAGACTCCCTCCAGAGTTGGTTGTGACCAGCTCAGTGGATTGCTGTAGGAAAGTCCTGGATTCTTTCTTGGATACACAGAATATAACTGGATATAACATTTATAGGGAAAGTTGATCCAGGGAATATCTGATTGCCTCTCGGAGGATCAGGAAGGAGTTTTTTTCCCTGCAGGAGCAGATTGGATAGTGCTTTGCTGGGGTTTTTTTTGCCTTCCTCTGGATCAACTGTGGGTGTAGGATTATAACTTTTTTTTTTTTTTTTTGGTTGAACTGGATGGACTTTTGTTTTTTTCAGCCAGACTAACTATGTAACTATGAAATATACCAAATAGTTGTATAGTTACAAATTTGGGTCGGATTTGGGGAGGCAAAAATATGAGATTGTGTAGAACGTGGTGAAACCAGCACAGTGGATAAGTGGTCAGCACTTCCACCTGGCAATACTCGGGTCGTTGATTCAAATCCCGACCACAGCACCACCTGCCTGGAGTTTGCATGTTCTCCCTGTGCCTGCGTGGGTTTCCTCTGGGTACTGCAGTTTCCTCCCACACTCCAAAGACATGCCGGTAGGTGAATTGGCTCCTGTCTAAATTGGCCCTAGTACAGTCAGGTCCATAAATATTGGGACATCAACACAATTCTAACATTTTTGGCTCTATACACCACCACAATGGATTTGAAATGAAACGAACAAGATGTGCTTTAACTGCAGACTGTCAGCTTTAATTAGAGGGTATTTACATCCAAATCAGGTGAACGGTGTAGGAAGTACAACAGTTTGCATATGTGCCTCCCACTTATTAAGGAACCAAAAGTAATGGGACAGAATAATAATCATAAATCAAACTTTCACTTTTTAATACTTGGTTGCAAATCCTTTGCAGTCAATTACAGCCTGAAGTCTGGAACGCATAGACATCACGAGACGCTGGGTTTCATCCCTGGTGATGCTCTGCCAGGCCTCTACTGCAACTGTCTTCAGTTCCTGCTTGTTCTTGGGGCATTTTCCCTTCAGTTTTGTCTTCAGCAAGTGAAATGCATGCTCAATCAGATTCAGGTCAGGTGATTGACTTGGCCATTGCATAACATTCCACTTCTTTCCCTTAAAAAACTCTTTGGTTGCTTTTGCAGTATGCTTTGGGTCATTGTCCATCTGCACTGTGAAGCGTCCAATGAGTTCTGAAGCATTTGGCTGAATATGAGCAGATAATATTGCCCGAAACACTTCAGAATTCATCCTGCTGCTTTTGTCAGCAGTCACATCATCAATAAATACAAGAGAACCAGTTCCATTGGCAGCCATACATGCCCACGCCATGACACTACCACCACCATGCTTCACTGATGAGGTGGTATGCTTAGGATCATGAGCAGTTCCTTTCCTTCTCCATACTCTTCTCTTCCCATCACTCTGGTACAAGTTGATGTTGGTCTCATCTGTCCGTAGGATGTTGTTCCAGAACTTTGAAGGCTTTTTTAGATGTCGTTTGGCAAACTCTAATCTGGCCTTCCTGTTTTTGAGGCTCACCAATGGTTTACATCTTGTGGTGAACCTTCTGTATTCACTCTGGTGAAGTCTTCTCTTGATTATTGACTTTGACACACATACACCTACCTCCTGGAGAGTGTTCTTGATCTGGCCAACTGTTGTGAAGGGTGTTTTCTTCACCAGGGAAAGAATTCTTCGGTCATCCACCACAGTTGTTTTCCGTGGTCTTCCGGGTCTTTTGGTGTTGCTGAGCTCACCGATGCGTTCCTTCTTTTTAAGAATGTTCCAAACAGTTGTTTTGGCCACGCCTAATGTTTTTGCTATCTCTCTGATGGGTTTGTTTTGTTTTTTCAGCCTAATGATGGCTTGCTTCACTGATAGTGACAGCTCTTTGGATCTCATCTTGAGAGTTGACAGCAACAGATTCCAAATGCAAATAGCACACTTGAAATGAACTCTGGACCTTGTATCTGCTCATTGTAATTGGGATAATGAGGAAATAACACACACCTGGCCATGGAACGGCTGAGAAGCCAATTGTCCCATTACTTTTGGTCCCTTAATAAGTGGGAGGCACATATGCAAACTGTTGTAATTCCTACACCATTCACCTGATTTGGATGTAAATACCCTCAAATTAAAGCTGACAGTCTGCAGTTAAAGCACATCTTGATTGTTTCATTTCAAATCCATTGTGGTGGTGTATAGAGCCAAAAATGTTAGAATTGTGTCGATGTCCCAATATTTATGGACCTGACTGTATGTGTATGTATTTTTTTTTTTTTCTATAATGGTTGAAGTGGATGGACTATTTTGTCTTTTTTCAGCCAAACTAACTATGTAACTATGCCATACTTACCTGCTCTGTGTAATGGTTTTACACAGAGCAGCCCTGATCCTCCTCCTCTCAGGTCCCCCAGTGGCGCTTCTGGCTCTTCCGCCTTGCTGAATGCCCTCAAAGCAAGCCTCTTGCTATGGGGGCACTCATGTGGGTTCACTCCTTAGCCACACTCTGTGTGTCCATTGACAGACAGAGTGCAGCTCGGCCCCGCCCCCCAATCCCTCCTTACTGGCTGTGATTGACAGCAGCAGGAGCCAAAGCCTTCCACTGCTGCTTCTGAGCCAGTGAGTAGAGAGAGAGCAGCAATGCTGCTGTTTTCGGGCACAGTGCTAGAT